GGATATCTCTTACATATTTTGATTTCATTTCCTTTGGCTATATTCCCAAAAGTAAGATCATGGGATCATAGGTAGTTCTATTTTCAGTGTCTTAAGGAACACTCATCCTGTTTTCCATAATGACTATACCAAGCCATTTTCCCAGCAATCATATACAAAGGTCTCCTTTTCCCTACATCCTTGGCAGTACTTCTTACTTTTAATCTTTTTAATAATACCCAGTCTAAAGGTTTGAGGTGATATTAAAACCATAAATCATTGTTGCTTTTATTTGCATTTTCCTTATGACAACTGACACTGAAAATTTTTTCATAAATGTATTGGTCATTTATGTGAATTTACATATTCACCACCTCAAATACTTGCCATTTCTTAGAAGTGAGAATATTTTAAACCTTCTCTTTTAGCTATTTTGAAATATATTATCATTATCATTATTAACTGTAGTCACATTTGCTGTGCAATAGAACTTCAGAACTTATTCCTCCTCTCTGACTGTAGCTTTGTACAAGTTGCCCAGCATCTGTCCTTTTCCATCTAACTTCCTAGGCCGCTTCAGCTTCTGGTAACCACCATTCTACTCTCTATTTCAATAAATTCAGGTTTTTTAGATTCCATGTATAGGTGAGATCATATGGCATTTGTCTCTACCTGCCTGGTTTAGTTCACCTAATGAAATCTTCTAGGCTCATCCATATTGTTGGAAATAATATTTCCCACTTAAAAAAATACCTTTCCATTTCTTTGAATTCTCTTCAAGTTCCTTCATCTATATTTTATAGTCTTCAGTGCATAGATAGTTCACCTCCTTGAGTGCTTATTTAGAGGTTCTAACAGGAGAGCACAGCTACTCACATATCTTTGGCCAAAGAACAGTGCTCCTCTACCGGGAAGGTTATCTTCTTCCACTACAGATAGCTTTAGGAGAGACACATATGGAATGGTGAGGAAGGAAGGGGACACCTGTCTAGTCAGCCATATTAGCTGAATCAAACCTGTTGATCATTTGGGATGGATGACAGTTGACCCAGCCAGACCACCCTCACATTCAGCTCACCTCTTTGGTCAAATTTATTCCTAAGGTTTTTTTGGGAGGGGTTGGGTAGGAAATAGTTGTTGCCAATGGAATTGTTTTCTTATTTGGATAGTTCATGGTTGAGTATGGAAACACTGTTGATTTATGTTGGTTTTGTATCCTGATACTTTACTGAATTCATTTATTAGTTCTTACAGTGTTTGGTGGAGTCTTTAGGGTTTTCTATCTTTTTTTTATTAATTTGTTCACATGTGCATACATTGTTTGGGTCATTTCTCCCCCCTTCCCCCTCTCTTCTATCATGTTTTATACCAACAGAACAACTTAACTTTTCCTTTCTTATTTAGCTGTCTTTACCTTTTTCTCTTGCTTAATTACTGGAAGTAAGAACTTCCAGTAATACCATGTTGAACAGAAGTGGTGAGAGTGGACATGCTTGTCTTCTTCCTGGTCTTGCATGAAAAACTTTCACCTTTTCACTACCAAACATGTTAGCTCTGGAGTCATCATATGGACTTCATTGTGTTGAGATACATTCCTTCTATATTTAATTTGTTGAGTTTTTAAATTATGAATTTTCTCAGATACTTTTCTGTATGTATTGACATGGTCATATGGTTTTTGTCCTTCATTTTGTTAATATGATGTATCACATTGACTGATTTGCATATACTAAATTATCTAAGCACCCCATGGATAAGTGCCACTTTGATCATGGTAAATGATTCTTTTAATGTGCTGTTGAATTCACTTTGCTAGTGGTTTTTTTGAGGATTTTTGTGTATGTGTTCACCTCAGATATTGACTTGAAATTTTCTTTCTTTTCTTGTAGTGCTCTTGTCTGACTTTGTACCAGGTTAATGATGACCTTGGTAAATGGCTTTAGAAATACTATCTCTTTTTTTAGTGTTTTGGATAAGTTTGAGAGTTGACATTGATTCCTGTTTAAAAGTATAGTAGAATTCATCAGTGAAACCATCAGATATTGGACTTCCCTTTGATGGGAGATTTTTAAAAATTTTCTGAATAAAATCATTCATCTATTCAAATTTTTGATTTCTTTGTAATTCAGTCTGGTAGGCTTTTGCGTATGTAGAAATTTATCTGCCTCATCTAGGTTACCAAATTTGTTAGATACAATTGCTCATAGTAGGTTTTTTGTATTTCTGTGACATCCATTGTAATATACCCCTTTTCATTTCTGATTTTATTTACTTATTTGACTCTTTTCCCTTTTTCATAGTTGGTCACCCTAATACTTTGTTGATTTTGTTTATTTTGTCACACACACACACACAAAAAAACCCGCTCTTGCTTCCACTGGTCTTTTCTAGTGTTTTTCTAGTTTCTTTTTCACTTATGTCTGCTCGGAGTTTTATTATTCCCTTCTTATTATTAATTTTGGTCTTAGCTGGTTTTTGTTTTTCTAGTTCTTTAAAGCATAATATTACGTTGTTTATTTGAGATTTTCTTCTTTCTTAATAGAGACATTTATTGCTATAATCTTTCCCTAGAACTGCTTTTGCAGAGTTACATACATTTCAGTGTGTTATATTTGCCTCAAGATATTTTTAATTTTCCTTTTTAATTTCTTTTTTGACTCCTTGGTTATTTATGAACACATTATTTACTTTCTGTATATTTGGGGAGTTTCTGAAATTCTTCCTGTTGATTTCTAGTTTTATACTACTATCATCAGAAAAGATCTTCTGAAAATTTTTAAGACTTCTTTTGTGCCCTAACATGATCTATCCTGGAGAATGTTCCATGTGCACTTGAGAAAAAAAAATGTATCTTCTGTTGTTATTGGGTGAAAATGTTCTGCATGTGTCTGTTAGATCCATTCAGTCTAACGTGACGTTTAAGTCCAATGTTTCTTTATTGATTTTTCTGTCTGAGTAATCTACCTATGGCTAAAATTGGGGTATTGGAAGTTTCCTACTATTATGATATTAGGATCTTTCTCTCTCTTCAGATCTAGTGTATATATATATATATATATATATATATATATATATATATCACATCTTTCCCCAACATTTCATATCTTCTTCTTTCCATCTGTATCTTTTGATTGGAGATCTTACATTCAATCATATTAATCCCATATTCTTCATTTTATTCTATTCATTTACCAGTAGCATACTATTTTAGTACAACTTTAAAAATATTTAATACAAATTAAGGTCTGATTTCTACTGATTTCTTTCTAGATGTCTATTTTTCCATTTTTTTCATATCTATTTTTTCACTTCAATTTAAGAATCATCTTTTAAAAAGTTCTTGAGGAAAGTTATTTAAGTTCTTTTGAATGTAGAGAGAATAGCCATTTATGATGTTAAATCTCTCCGTCCAAGAATACAATAATTCTTCCCATTGGTTTATAATTTTTTTCTCATGTAGTGCATTTAGGTTCATTTAGTTTTTGTACAGTTTCTGTCAAATTCATTCTGGGGTATCTTAACTATTTGGTTGCCATTTAAAATGACATTTGAATGTGATTTTCTGTATGTAAGTGCTATTGACTTCTATATGTGAATTTATTCTCATGTAACCTGAGTTTTCATAACTAAGCTCTACATATTTCTTTTGTTGGTTACCATTAGTTTTTCATGTATACAACCATCATGTGCAAATAAAGGTACTTGTCCCTTTCCCTTTCCAAGTTTTGTACTTTTACTCTTTTTCACACAATTTCTCTGGTTTACACCTCCAGGACAATGCTAATAGTTGTGTTGATTATAGACATCCTTGTCTTGTTCAAACTTCTATTTGCTTTCCCATAAGCATGACGTTGGCCTATTTTTTTTTTTCTGGAATGGATATTTCCTTATTAGGTTCAATTTAAATACATTAATATTTTTAAATGCAAGTTTTCAAAAAATTCAAGCATAGATGTTATATTATATGTTATATATTAGCATTTATAGAGGTAAATATATGGATTGTCTCTTTATAAATATTAAATTATTTTAATTAATAAATGTGTTATTCTTTAATCATCCTGGAATTTCCAGACTAAACCTCATTTTGTCAGGGCATGGTCTTTAAGTGTTTTACTGGCCATATTTTGATGATATACTGTTTGTTCCATTCATATCTAGAAATGGGATTATTTTCTACATTTCTTTTTTGTAATATTTTCCAGTTTTGAGAGTGTTTAACTCAATTCTCATTTAATTTGGAATATTCTTTTTAAAAGAGTATCAGAATTGAATGTTCTTTAGATATTTAATAAACTTTTGCAGAAATTTAGAAAAAAATATGATTCTTTCAAAGATTTAGTAGGTTTTTTTCCCCTTTCTTTTTTGTAGCATTAGAGTTTGAACACGGGGCTGGTGCATACTAAGCAAGTACTCTACCACTGAGCTAAATCTCAAGTCTAAGATTTAGTAACTTTTTAAATATAAAAATCATGTCACTTTGGGGCTTTGATCCTGTAACAGTGGCTGGCACACATCAGTGGACACTAAATGACTACTTGACTGATTTTGATGATGAATTTTAAAGAAAGCTCTCCTACTTGATCTGTTGATTAGACAAGCTGGAAGACTTGTGCTATAAGCAAATTTCCTGCTTAAGTCTGTACTAATAAGTGGTGATGCTATTTTATATTTATATCTTATATTCAAAAGCTATCTTAGGTAATGAAGAAATTAATACAAAGATATTTTGAGCTAATTTAAAATTTAAAAACCTCATTCTTTTTTTTTCAAACACATAGTAAGTATTTATTGAAAATTGCCTCAGGACTAGTTATTGGTTTTGTTGTTTTTATTTTTGTGCTGAGGCTATGTTGTAGCATTTACAAAAGAAAAAAATTCTAATAGCAACTATTAGTCCAAGCAGCATACAACAGCAAAGCAAATACCTAAGACATCATTTCAAAGGCTGACAAGCCCGTTTTGGATTCTTCTATGAGACATCTATATGATCTGTTAAAATTAACTGAGAAGTATTTTACCTTTTTTGAGCATAAAAGAGACCTTCTTCATAAGTTTGTACCCAAGTGATGTCATCTCCCCATCCTGAAATAGAAGAGAGAAATCAGAGCATTAATCCAGGACCACAGAAAAGCTCTGAAATGGGTATCTGACATGCAGATGTCTATCTATAAATGTTTAACTAAGCTATCAAGCCCTGAGCTGACTTAGGGTGTAAAGGATATTCACTTACACTAGTGCCCTCTCAGATTGTCATTTGCAGGATTTGGGACTATGATTCAAACCTGAAAGCCCGTGGCCTTGAACCCAGTAAATACTTAATAAATATCATTATGATTAATGGTGACTGAAAGACATCTTTGGATCATGCAGAAGCTCTGGCTTTCAGAATATGCACAAAGCTTTGTGTACTCTTTGTAAAGCTGTCAGGAATCCTTTGGACATCACTGCAGTCCATTCTTTGCATCCTGAGTGCCAAGAGATGCTGACTTCTTCTAAGGCAGTACATACTGTGGGAAATGGGAATTCCAGGTTTTCCTTTGAGTTCTTACTTGGAAAAAATTCTGGTGTGGGAATTTCATCATAGTACAACACAGGTGCTTTTGGAGACATCCAGAGTAGAAGAGAAAATAGACAATGAGAACTCATTAGCTATAAAGAAGAGATGTAAGTACTTGGGAATGTGTCTTGGAGATGAAGGAAAAAGACCATCCAGAAGTAGAATGCACAAGACACTCAGAAATATTGTGGATTATTTTTAGAAATTAGCTCAGACTATGAATGAGAAAGATTGAATTAATGTGAAAGTAGAAATCTTTAGAGGCCCGTTTGGAGCCAGGTTTTCACTTCATTTTAAATATTGGCAGGCTGCAGTTTCTGGTTTTGATATCATGGAGAAATGATAGTGAGGAACATGAAGTAGCATTATGAAATAAGACAAACATATCTCCATTATTTTTGCTGTTTGTTTTGTATTCTTTATTTGTTCTTTGATAACAACTATATTGAAATATAATTACCACACCAACAAAGCTTACCCATTGAAAGTGTACATCATTTTAGTATATTCCGAGAGTGATGCAAACATCACTGCAATCAATTTTAGAACATTTCATCACCTCAAATTAAACCCTGCATTCTTTAGTTATCACCTGCCCCTATTCTCCCCAACTCCTCCAATTCTAAGAAACTCCTAATCTATTTTCTGCCTCTACAGTTCACTTATTTAGGACATTTCATATAAATGGAGTCATATAGTATGTGGTCTTTTATGACAAAATTCTTTCACTTAGCATAATGTTTTCAAGGTTCATCCATGTTGGGTCGTGTGTTAATACTTAATTCCTTCTTTATGGTTGAATATTATCCCACAGTATAGATATACCACATTTCATTTATCAGTTGAAGGACATTTGGGTTGTTTTCACTTTTTGGCTTTTATAAACAATGATGTCATGAACATATGTGTACAAGTTTGTGAGTGGATATGTTTTTATTTCACTTGGAAATCTACCTAGGAGTGGAACTGCTGAGTCAAATGGCAACTGTTTAACTTTTTGAGGAACTGCCAGATTGTTTTCTAAAGTGGCTGCACTATTATTTTAAAGTAACAGTTTTTCATTGGTATGATATCTTCACACCACAGTTTGCTTTAAATAAAGGTTATTTTAGAAACAGCAAGTGAGATTAGCGTCTGCTTAATTTTAGATCTTCTGTTGCAAATATCAACTTAGTTCCACAAACATTAAAGTATCATCTGCCCTATATCTTACTCTATTAGATACTGAGATTGCAAAGGCACATAATATAACTCCTACTCTCAAGAATACTCACTACCCTTAAGGGAGGTATATTGTATTATACTGACTTTTATACAATCTATCTCATAATCACAATAGACCCAAGGCAGTACAGAGCTTAAACTCTCTTTAAGGTGTGGGTTTATGACTATAATTTTGCTGCAGCCTTAGGTACGCTTTCTTGTCTTTTAAGATTTGTTTGTTCATTTAACATGTATTTGTTGAACATCTACCGCATGCCAGGCACTGGACTGGCTCGTGGTAGTTCTTTGTATTCAAAAGAAGTTAGGAATTTTTTTGGTCATTGTGAGTTTCTTGACTCATCTACTACTATTTCCCCATTAATCTTCCTTTTTCACCTTACCATTCTCTCTCCTTAACTGCTTGGTAATGACCTCTGCCATAAAGGGCTACATATGCTTCCCTACACATGTTACTCAAACTCTTTTCTCTTTCCCTGCCTTTAATCCTCATTCATTCAGAGCCTCATTCTTTCTGTAATTTCCTACATTGCAATAAGTAGTAAAAAGCTTGCTCAACTATAAACCAGTTCTCAACAATGGGATTCTCAGCTAATACCAGTCATCTTCTTTATTTAAATAAATCCTTAATAATTAAAATAACAGAACCATTAGGTTATTTAAAATATGCCATATACTTTCGAATTGGTTTTTACAGAATTTGCTAAATGTTTTAAATAGGCATTAAAAAGCAGGCACACAGAATACTGATGCTGCTTAACTCAGTCATGAAAGGTTTTTAGGGCAATGAGTAGATTAGTCTTTGATACTTTGTTATTGAGCTCATTGCTTTAAAACCATTATGCTTATGTAGAAAGCTATTTGATAAGTTATATCTAGGAAAATATTTTCATGTTTTAATATTTCTTTTGGAAAATACATACTGCTTTCCTAGATATATAGTTTTGTGATTCATAAACTGAAGTTGAATTAATTAATGTAAGTAAATAATGATGGACACTTAGCTGTTACTCAATACATCTGTTAAGAAATGAGTGAACTTAGAAAGTAACTCAGTGTTTTGGAATTTAGAATTATACTTTAGCTGGTCTCAATTGTTTGCTCTATTCACATTACCATTCCATAGAGTGGTCAAATGCTTTGTGTTTATACTCATAATTTTGAATTAACCATGTGGCAATAAGCAATTCAGTTCCTATTTCTGTTATCTGGAAATACAGGAACCAATTCTGACAGTAAGTACAAAATAGAAATATTTTTTAAACCTATAGCCAATAGAAAATCTAGATTATGGTATCTAAAACTACATAACTGTTTTCCAGCATCATAGCAAGGTCTTGATTCGCCAAAATGATCAGGAGTTGGGATAAAGTGCTAAGTTCTAGGTAGCCTCGCATAAAATCATTCCAAATTCCAATTTCTTGTCTTAATAAATAAAAGACTGCAGAATCTTAGATTTCGTTTAAGAAACCACTATGACATATCAATCAATGATCATTTTCTAGGACTCTGATTACCAAAATTATAGATATCAAATCAGTTCTCCACTATTTCTGCAAAAAAATGCAGTAAATTGTTACTTATTTGATTTGTTTGATTCACTGTCTAAACCAACTAATCCCTTCAAACAACTAATCCCTTCAAAATAAAAGTGTTTTGTTTTTGTTTTTAGAAAAAGTTTCTTTGAAGTCATATTTAACAAACATTTTCCAGTTCATTATTTGCTTTATAACTAAACTTTGGATGAAGATACTCAGTATTTAAAATGGATTCCAAATGACTATGTTTAGAAAATAAAATGAATTACAATACCTCTGGAGAGTGTCTGAGGACGTTTCTTTTCCTTTTTAATTGCCATGGCAAGGTTGGAAGGAACTGTGATAAGTAAGAGGCAGAGGGCCAAAGCTGAGTGTGACATCCTGTCTTCTAGAAACTCCCTCAAAGCAGCTAGATAACAGAAAATAATTTTCAGAATAGAGTAGATTCCTTTAGGTTATCATTAAAAGACATTTACTAAGAGCTGGATAAAACTTGTGCTGACAGATTGTTCTTTGATCTCACATAGGATAACCACCTAGAACTTCTAAAAATTCAATCAATTTAGTAAATGTTCAGTGTTGAAGAGTTATGTTCTGGGCATCCTAGTCATAGTTTGATGTATTTGAAAAAGAATAGAATCAAGGTACACAGTGCTGCTTCTGAACCACACTGTAGTCTCCACAGCCCCACAAAGGAACTCAAACAAGATCACATTTGCTAATCATCTTGAAATGGGTAAATATTAGCACCAAGAAATATTCTTTGCCTTTTCATTCTTCTGGTCCTTATAGCTTAAAACATTTGAATTCTATAATAAAACGAAATAGCCACGAACAAATACTGCTTAAAACAGAAACCAGAGGCAAAGGAGAATATTGAGGAGTCTTGTATTTCAGTGCCTCTATAGTCACACCTCATTCTGTCAGCAGTTACTCAGCTTTTTGTTCTTTAGATTATAACTCAGTTTTTTTTAAAGATCAAATATTGTCATATTGTTATAAATTAACCATACATACAAGAGTAGAAAGAAATGTACAGATACCTTTCACATTTATTTAAAGTTTCTTTAAAGCATTTTTCCTGTTGACTTGTGTTATTTAGTAGTGATTTTCTCCACCAAAATAATGAAATTACCTCACCAAAATGTTGTGAATGGTTCTTTGTTGATTCTGCTCAAGCGTGGAAGTTAGTGTACTCAGATGAATAAGACACAATGACCAATGACTTGGCATTGGTAAAATGCTTGGCAATTGTTATATCCTAGTTAATGTGAAGTAGCAGCTGTAGTCATGGAGGACAGCAGTAACTTGGTGTTGAAGTTGGTAGATTCTAGGTTTCTCTAGACATTTTCTCATCCTTCTCAGTCTAGTGTTTTCTACTTTTCAGTGATGTGTACCTTCAGTCCCTCTCTGAATTGAAAAGGTTTGCTAGCCCAGGTTAGCCTTATTTCCATTATTTCCTCTCCTAATCTGCCATAGAACTATTTATTACGTTCCTTGTGTTCAGTTACTAAAAAACCTGTTAAACAGTAACCATGGTGTCTGATAAGGATTTCAATTTAAGTTCCCATAACTTACTAAACCATAAAACATTTCAGAGTGTCATCTCGTACCTTAAGTTCTGGTCATCTTATACTTGAGAGACTGAATCAAAGAAAAGGTAAATTTTTAAGAAGCAGGGGAGGGTGATAAGAAAGTGATAAAGGGGGTAAATTTGATCAAAGCACCTTATATGCATCCATGAAAATATCACAATGAAACTCCTTTGTACAATTATTATATGCTAATAAAAAAGAGAAACAAAATAAAGGATAGATTTTAGTTGAGAATGCAACAGTTGAAACTGGGAAGGGCAGACTTGGGTTGAAAGTTGTGGTGGAGAGAACTAAGTACCATTTAAGACAGAGTCTTAACCTGAATCCTACAAGCTCTCTGAATGAGCTTCAAGAGGCTCAAAAATGCTGATATTATAAAATTTTGTGACCTTCTGTTTATTTTCCTTGAGAAGAGGCTCCAAAATTGCCTTTAGATTCTTCTAGAATCTTGAACATAGAGAACAGTTAGAAAATGTGGAGAAAGCATGAGAAGGGTTCTCTGTGTTAGGGACAGAGATAAGCAGGTAGAATCTACATTAAGAAAAGAGACAGGAAAGCTTTATCATTTTTTTTCTTTTTGCTATTTTAATGCTGCCAATGTTAGAGTTGAGTGGTTACCGAATTATTTTTAATTTCATGTATTGTTGTCAAGTACTTTCTACTTTCAAAATCAAAATCTTGAGTTGCTATTTTACATTGTTTGATAAAATACAAAATAGATACTAACTACATTCCATGACAAAGCAATACAACTTGAGTACTGTTGGTTTTGGATGAACACTGTGTTCCTTGCTAAAATAGGGTATGTCTTGCTGCTGGTCTTTTACCACTAGTTGCTGAAAGGTTAAGCTACATGGGACACACACTTTGGTGTACTTGAGAAACCCATAACCAAATGTCAGGAATTAGGTTTTAATAAACATTGGTCAATTAGCATTTTCTGATACTAGGATTTTACTTTTCAAAAGTAATTAAGCCATGTACTTAAATATTATATTAAACATTTCTATATTTTAAAATAAGGCAAAAACTTAAAAGAATCTAAGGAACAATGATTTGTTACTTCTAGAATAATTTTAAGAGACTTTTTTGGCCAATTCCATTTTGTTCTACTATAATTAATATAAATAGAGAATAAATCGATGAAACTAGCATAGGAAATCCAGATCAGTAGCAGAAGAAAAATACAGTTCCATTTTACTTTCCCCATCTTTTACAGAGAGCCTCAGTTTTAAATAGCAAAATTGGTCATTTAAATACAGCAATGGATTCAGTAATCTGGAAACCTTGCTTGCTTACCTGAACTGGCGAGTGCTGTTGTTGGAAGTGTACTCTGGATGTTTCTGGTTACAAAGGGGTGTGGATTCAGAGACAACACATGCACCTGACCTACAACCCCACCTGCTTAGAGACAAGGGCGTAGTTACCTGAAAACTTACAATAATAGGCTTGTTTGAAAAACTCTTTCTTTCCAGAAGTACTAGTGCTTCTCACAGTGAAAAAGCTCTTCTTTCTCTAAATTAAGATGGAATGTTCTCATAAAACGACACCAATGACCATCTTTGTGTTTCATTTTCCTCTACCTTTCACCTTCCACAGTAATTGGATATTTGGCTGGATTTCAGCACCACAGGAAAAAAAGAAAGAAAAGAGAAAAGGGAAAGAATGTAGAAGCTGTGTGTGCCATTGTTCTCTATGGGAGTTCTGTGAGACTTGTGCAAATAGAAATTCCTAAGGGTTATTCTGTTACAGGAATATAATTAATAGCTAAAAGGATAAGACCCTTCTTTCTTTCTTTCTTTTTGAGAAAGAGAGAAGGAAATAAAAGTGTGGTTCTAAAATTCGATAGTTTCATGATTTTATTATTCCTTATACTCTTTTTATAAAAAGTCTTTATCTTACTGTGTAAAAAAACAGGAAAACAGGCAAATAAGGTAATTTTATTTAGATTTATCTAATAGTTAGATTCTGGTTAATTAAATTAAAATGATCTAAATCAGGGGTCAACAAATATGGGTTGATTTGTTTTTGTACAGCCCAAAAGCCAAGAATAGACTACATTTTTAAATGGTTGGGGGGAGGGGAATCAAAGGTAGAGTCATATTTTGGGATACAGAAATTTAAATTTCAGTGTGCAGCAAGTTCTTTCCTTATTATTATCTCATTTTGCATTGCAAAGCAAAATCTTGTATATGTGACAGGAACCGTATGGTCCATGAAGCCTAAAATGTTTACTAACACCCTTTACAGAAAAAGTTTTCTGATCTGTAATCCAAGGATTGTTCATAAATCCCTCCCTCTCTCCCTCCCCCCCTTCCTTCCTTCCTTCCAGACTTCCTGCCTTCCTTCCTGCCTTTTTTATTTTCTCTATATTAAAAATTTTGAGTATATTAACAAATGCAGTTCTAAACAATGGGTGTGATGGGTTTTTTTGCTCCCAACATTAAAGGAAATGTGCTTCTAGTATTTTAACTTTAAATATAGTGTCAGATTTGGTTCATAATGTTAAGAAAGCAGCCATCATTCCTATAGTGCATCTCTTAAAAAGCAGAAATGGATTGTGTTTATAAAGATAGATGTAGGGATTTTCAAGTTTGATAGAGTGTTATAATTTTTCTAAATGACTCTGTGATTTGAAAGAAACTTCAGATATCCCAGCTGTATTCTTCTGTTATTTTACCACTGATTTGTGACCTAGTTTAAATGTGCTTTCTCCCTTGAATAGAATTGTCAAAGGTAACCTTCCCAGGAACAATGCTATAAAAATGGAATCCTTCCAACTGAAGGCTAATAAACTGGACCTGTAATTTTTATTTTAAATTCAATATTTATAAAATAAAGAAATAGTTGGACAGTGATTCCTAAATTTCCCTGTTGGACACACTGTTGAGACAGCTTCAACCTTGTTCTTGACTGGGAACTGGGAATGCTTTATAGATAAATCTTAAAATACTATCTTGTCAAACTCCCACCTAGTATTTATTTTAATGGATAATAAGGTGAGAATGACAAAGAGGAAGTAAAGTATTTATGGGGTAGTAAAACTACTGGTGGTGTCTCACCTGTTCTGTGTGTTTGGTTCCCTCTCTGGTATGAAAGTTTAATTTATCTCCTAAGCAGGACAATTTTAAGAGTGATGAAAATCATTAAAATAATTTAATTTAAAAATAATATTTTGAAATACATATTTGTCAGCCAAATTGATTATAAATATTTCTACTGAAGATTATTCTCAAAAGCAAAATTCTTCAAAATATACCCTTATTATGGAAAACTTAAAAATTATTATTTGTAGATATTCATTTTAATCATTTTCTTAACTGTATTTGTATGGTACCAGTTAGCTGATGTTTTTAAATATTTTTCTGTTATTAACTGTAACATGTTAGTTGTGTGAAATAACGGGTTTCATTTTGATATTGCCATGCATGCATATGATGTACCTCGATCATTTTCACCCCTAGTATGTTCTCTTACCCTCCTTTCCCCTCCTGCTGGTTCTCTTCATTTTTGTAAATTCACCTTTTTTTTAAATTTTTACCTATATTTTTCAAATGAGAGAAAACATGCACATTTATTTTTCTAAGTGTGGCTTATTTGCCTTAAGGTGATGATCTCTAATTCCATCCATTTCTATGAAAAGGAAATAACTTTGTTCTTCTTTATGGCTGAATAATACTCCACTGTATATCTATACCACATTTATCCAGCCACCCATTGATGGACACCTTAGCTTGGCTAAGGTGAATGGTGCTTTAATAAACATGGGTGTGCAGGTATATTTATTATATGTTGACTTTGATTCCTTTGGGTATATACTCAGGTGTGGTATATTTAGATCTTATAGTAGTTCTACTTTTAAATTTTTGAGGAACTTCCATATTGACTAGAATAATTTACATTCTCACCAACAGTGTATGAGGGTTCTTTTTTCCCCCATTTTCACCAGCATGTTGTTTCTCATCTTCTTGATGATAGCCACTCTGACTGCAGTGAGATAGAATCCCAGTGTAGTTTTCATTTTCATTTCTCTGATGCATAAATATATTGACCATATTTTCATGTAATTATTGGCCATTTTTATTTCCTTAAAATTAATTATTTCATGCTCTTCTTTTGAGAACTGTGGTTCAGTTTATTGTCCAGTTATTAATGGGATTGTTTGTCCTTTTGGTGTTTATACATTCTGGGAATTAACCCCTTTGTCAGATGAATAGCTGGCAAAGATTATCTCCCATTTGGTACACTGTCCCTTAACACTGGTCATTATTTCCAGTGCTGTCCTGATGCTTTTAAATTTGATGCAATCCCATTTATCAATTTTTGCTATTATTTCTTAGACAATTGGAGTCCTATTCAGAGAGTCATTGCCTATTCTTGTATCTTGAAGTATTTTCCTCTAGTAGTTTCAAAAAGTGTATGTCTTACATTAAGGTCTTAGATACATGCTGAATTGATTTTTGTACAGGGTGAGAGATTGAGATCGAGTTTCAGATTTCTACATGTGGATATTCTAACACTATTTGTTGAAGAGGCTGTTTTTTTCTCCAACTTATGTTTTTGGCTCTTTTGTTGGGAATGAGATAACTATAGCCATGTCTGTTTATTTCTGGGTCTTCTATATTATTCTGTTGTTCTTTGTGTCTGTATTTGTGTTGGTACCATACTAGCATCTCTGGAATGAAAACAACTTAATCATGTATATAATCTATTTAATATGTTGTTGAATCTGGTCTAAAATATTTTATTGAGTTTTTTGCATCTATGTGCATCAAAGATATTGGCCTATAGTTTTCTTTTTTGTTGTATCTTATCTAGTTTTGAGCTCAGTGTAATACTTGCTTCATAGAATGGATTTGAAACTGTCTCTTCCCTTTGTACTTTATGTAATACTTTGAAGAATTTTGTTGTTAGTTCTTATTTAAAGGCCTGGTAGAATTCAGCTGTGAGTCTGTCTGTTCTTGGGCTTTTCTTTATTGGGAAACTTTCTATTGCTGCTTCAAATCTTATTGCTTATTATTGCTCTGTTTAGGTTGTTTGTAGCCTCTTGGTTCAATATTGGTAGGTCATATGTGTCTAGAAACTCATCTCTTTCTTCTGAATTTTCCAATTTATTTTTATATACATTTTCAAAATAGTCTATAATGATCCTCTGTATATCAGTGGTATCTGTTGTAATTTCCCCCTTTCATCTCTAATTGTATTAATTTGTGTCTTCTCTGTTTCTTTTGTTAGTTTGGGCAAGGGTTTGTCAATCTTGTTTATCCTTTAAAGATCCAAGTCATTGTTTACTGATTCTTTGTTCTTTGTATTTTTCTTTTCATCTCCATTTCATTAACTTCTTCATTATTTCCTTCTAGCTACTAATTAAGGATTTGGCTTTTTCTTGTTTTTCTAAGACCTTGAGGAACATCACTAGGTTATTATTTTTTTTTTATTTTGTCATTTTTACATTTACTCACATGTGTATACGTTGCTTGGGTCACCTGACTGCCTCCCTTGTCCCCACTCTCTGCTTCTGGGTAGAACTTGTTCTACCCTCTTGTTCTCCAATTTTGTTGAAGAGAAAACATAAGAGATAATAAGAAAAACTTGGCATTTTTGCTAGTTTGAGATAAAGATAGCTATATAGGGAGATTCCTAACATTGCTTCCATGCACATGTGTACTGCAACCCACATTGGTTCATCTCTACCAAACCTCTTTGCTACTTCCTGGTCACTTTCCCATAGTGGCTTCTGCCAGTTTAAGATTACTATATTCACTCCTCTACAGAGCACATCAACCACATTCAAGTTTTAGGTTTCCTTCCCTTTCTCTATTCCTTTTCTGTACCTGGCTAGATGATATTCTCCAGTTCCATCCATTTACTTGCAAATGACAAAATTTCATTCTTTGTGGCTAAATAAAATTCCATTGTGTCTCAATACCACACATTTTCTTAGTCCATTCGTTGGTGGTGAGGCACCTTGCCTATTTCTGTAGCTTAGCTATTGTGAATAGTGCTGCAATAAGCACAGGTGTACAGGTGCCTTTGCAGTAACCTGAGTGGCATTCTTTCAGGTATATCCCTAGGAGTGGTATTGCTGGATCATATGGCAGATCTATGTTTAGTTTTTTAAGAAGCCTCCATATTGTTTTCCAAAGTGACTGTACTAGCTTACATTCCCACCAGCAGTGTATGAGGGTTCCTTTTTCCCCACATTCTCACCAACATTTGTTGTAGTTGGTGTTCTTGATGATAGCTACTCTAACAGGAGTGAGGTGAAATCTTAGTGTGGTTTTGACTTGCATTTCCTTTATGGCCAGGGATAGTGAGCATTTTTTCATGTGTTTTTTG